CTGTCATAAAATCCTACCTGTGAGCAATTTTTTTAAATTTTGAAAGCTAAAGTTTATTCTGGTTATAGTTTGCTTTCACTGGTTCCTATTGCCCCCCTCATCAATGTGGCGACAGTTTAAAATAAAACCGTTCTATTTTTATTACATTCCTAATTCTAAACCACACAGCCCTGATGCAAGCAGTGGACTGTTTCTTGGGTGGAGGTATGCAGATATCAAGATGCCTTGATGGGTGGATGCCAGTCTGGAGGAAATACAGCCTGGTTAGGATTATTCCTAGCCAGACTGTATTTGCATGCAGACTGCCCTAGGTAGCACCCACATGTGATGTTGAGCCCTCGTGTTCGAAAGAACTGAAATCCAATGAATGAAAGAGGTGGGCTCTATCTGACTTGCTGCAGCTTCTAATGCACATTGTGAGGAGTTAAGACTAAGGCCCCGTTCACACCTGAGCGTTTCACCACGCGTTCCTACGCTCTGTAAAACGCGCAACAGATGAAAACCCATGTTTGCCTATGGGCATGGTTCTCATCTGCGCGTTTTACCGCCCATTCGATCGCGTGGTAAAACGCCATACGCCCAAAGAAGTACATGAGCTTATTTGGAGCGTATTAACGCCCGTATCCCGCTGTTATCAGCCGGATACCCCCTCGGAAACTTGCGTTTGACGCACGTTTCTTTTACCGCAAATCGCGGTAGAACCGCGCGGTAAGAAACACGCCGCAAACGCGAGTTTCCAATACGCTGAGGTGTGAACCCAGCGTAACCATTTTCAGTACAACTGTGTATGACTGAAGCTAGTAACTAAATGTGTTATTTTGACGAAAAAAGTACTATTAAATTTGTCTATTTTACAGCACTCACTATAGAAACATAGGCTTGAACACACACACGCACTCTCTCTCTCTGCCAGAGATGCTGAATTTTAATCTATGCATCTACTATCTGCGGCACAGAGTGACATATGGAATTGCTCACAAAGCAGCATGTCTACCCGTATGATTGGAATAATAACAAATTTATATTCCAAGTAATTATCCATGATTCACTGTGAGCCATTGTTCTTTTATTTGACGAGCAGTTACTGCAGTGCTGTTCATTTTCAATTTGCAGTGCAGATTCATTTGCATGCAGTCAGGCTTTCCCCGACACTTGCACAAATGTCATTTAAAAATATCTGCTCAATTCAATAGCTGTTAAATGAGTTTCCTTGTGTGCTTTTAAAGTACCACTGCCATTAACCCTCACAACTCAGCGGCTGTAATTCTTGAAAAGCAAAATATGGATTAGGCTGGGAAGGCTGTTAAAGAGAATCTGTCACCTACAAAAAGGAGAGCAAGAGCATTCAGCAATTCACTAACATATGTGTAGAGATTCTGTCAGTATCTACAGTAATATCAAAATTTAATAATAATTTCAGTTTTGACTCAGTCATAATGCCCTACAGGATACCACTCCTCACAGATGTGATGAAGCTCAGAATGTTTTCTCTGCAAAGGCATCAAAGTTGAAAATAGCATTGCTGATTACTCACATGGGCAACATGACTTTAAAAAGCAAATGCCAATTGTGCAGTACCCAAGAATGATCCAATACACAAAAGATCTTACCTTACATGAATCAACAATTGAAATCATAGTACATAAAGAAACAGCTATACATACACACATACAAACATGAAAATGTTGCATCCCATCTGCTGAAGGGCTTTATATTATTTAACCCTGGCATTCATTTTCAGTATCTGGCAGTTCTGGTAAATACATTCCTACATTTGCTGGTGAATTCATATGAAGGCTTGAGAGTTCATTGCTCAAGCTACTTATTCCACTAGGGGACTGTTGCCTTGTCCCACGCCTTTTAGTATAGAGGGAAGGGCTTTCAAAGCACAAAATAATGTGAATATAATGGTTGCCTCCACAAATATAATATGTATTACAATATTAGGACACACCTAACACATTATAATGTTTTGATTTGGAAAATAAACATTCAGCATTCGAAAAACCCGGCACTCCAAATTAAAGCGGACCTTTACACTCAAAAATCAAATTCTACCAATGCATCCCTCTATGTATGATGATTAATAATAACGCAGATAGGTCAGGTGTAAAATGCTGTGATTATGAAAGACTTACACTTGCAGAGCATTCACTTCCTGCTTTGAAAGTGCTTCAGTTTGCCAACGCAATGCACACTGGGATTGTCTTGTCATCAGCAGAGCATTGCTGGGAAATCTCATCTGCAATCTCATGAGATCTCAGGGAAAGGCATTTTCCTCCCTGGAGATGATGTGCATGGTCACATGTCCTAGTCACATGTCTAGTCACATGTGCCAGATTTTCAGGAAGTAAAAGGAGAGCTAGTAATCTGCCCTTAGAAAACATGGCCACTGTCAGAAGACTGGAGAAGAAAAGAGAAATAAGATATGCAAAGAATAAAAAGCCGGCAATTATCTAGAATTATGTGTTTGTAGATTGTCGTTACTAAACATTTCTAAAGATGTGTTTGTTGTTATTTTAAAGATATGGGTAAAGGTCCACTTTAACCTGCACATGTAGGAAAGTCTTATCTTACCACCCAATAACTTAAATATTAATAAGCCTATCTGCATCTCAGAAATGATTTTGGCACTTTTCTGACAACTTAAAAAGTAGTATACAGCATTGAGAGTGTTGGTCGGTGACAGTTTCTTATACACCAGCCGCTTAAGTCTGCTTTACAAAGAGAAGCTTCCCCTGATAAAAGGAATACTGAAACATATTGGCTTGTTACCCTGGATTTTTATGATGAAGTAAATATTTCTGAACTCTTTAAACATTGGTGTGGCGCTCTTGATTCCTTCAATTTTTGCTTTTTGAGACCCTGTCATGTTTAAGAGCCACCCAGCCAGAGCCGTTGTGCTCTACAGTATAGACTCCACATTTTAAAGGAGAACTATGGGGTCAGGGCTTTTCCCCATAGTTCTCCTTAGGGTAACGGGAGGACACAAACTAGCGTCCTCCCGTCACCCTAGGCTCAGTATACCGCGAGCTACAGCTCGCGGTATACGGAGACACCGCAGCTGGAGCGGATCCCGACATCGATGTCGAGATCCGCCCAGCTGCGTGAGTGACAGCTGGCTCTGCCTATCTAGAGGCAGAGCCAGCTGTACCCGCCCCCTCCCCCGTCCGTTCCGCCAGTCAGCGCTGGCAGATCGGAGCGGGGAGAGGGGAATCCAGCCCCTCCCCCTGTCACGGCAGAGAGCCGTGACAGGATCGAGAGGTGAGCGAACCCGGTATGTGTTCGCTCACCTCCCGATCTACTGAGCCGACCTGTGACAGTCTCATTGGTCACAGGTCGGCTAGAACTATGAGGTGAGTGAAAAGCACTCACCTCATAGTTCTCCTTTAAAAGTATAGTAAGGGTGGACCAGCACCTCCCATCCATGTCCTTCAAACATGAAGCTGTTGGTTATACACAGAAGGAAACTGTGGACGGCAGGCAGCTGTTTTCAGCTCTTCCGGTTTTTAGAGCTGCAGGTGGACTGATGAAACAGCAGAGGGGTCACTGGGTGGGCATAACAGGCTGACAAGGTCTAGAGAAAGATATAATGTGCTGGAAAATCTGGAGATCCATCACCGCATTCCCAGAGCAGAAGCACAGGAAGTAGTATAAGCTTTGTACATCCTTCTTAATCAATTTGAGCCAAAAGCTGGTACCTTTGTTGTTTCCTTTCGGCACTGAATGGCCAGCCTTTGCCATATAGGTTTTGTTTTATTAGGATTTTGTTTAAAACCTAATCTCCAGCAACATATAAAAGTCACACGTTAATGCAGATCTGTACTCAACAATACATCATTAAATGTATTTGTTAAATGCAACCAGGGTAATTGATTTGGTATCTGCCTCTTGCAATCCTCTATACGGCAGCAATCACACTGGGAGAGGAAGGGGAAGAAGTAAAGCCAATCTGGTGCGCTGCATGAAAATGTGCTGGCAAGGAACATGCTAGTAGGAGGAGAGAGTAAAGAGATAAGCTTATCAGTCTTCTGTGTCCCCTAAGTGTCTAATAAACTTGGTGGTGGTAAAGAGAGAGGACACCACTGTAACCAATCTATAGTCTATAATTGTAACAGGGAAAGTGGTGTTCTGGCTGTTATGTGTGGCAGGGCTGTGTAAATCCCAGGACTTAATAGACGGGAAAAACAAATACGTTGGCAGGTAAAACATCTTTTCTATGTATTTATTCTGTGTATGTAGCCGTTTGTCTTGAGCTCAGTCTTAAATATAGACAATCAAGAGAGGATTAGAAGATTTTGGTCTTAGACCAGTGGTTCTCAACCTGTATAATGACCCACATTTATCATTGGTCATTAAGTAGCAACCCACGTTGCCCTGCATGGCGTTGTAATACCACATGTTCCAATGCAAGCGATCAAACTGTGGGTGGGAGGTGTGTTTGTGGTGCCATTCAAATGAATGGCAACGCAATACACCTCCCGCACCAGAATATACAGTAGGTGCGATTACGTGGTAGTTTGCAATGAAAACACTGACAGACGCACACAACCGCAGACACAATCTCACACATACACACTCCAAAAACATTTTAGGGGTTCAGAGTGGGCTGCTGTGCTGTGATGGAGCTCCATCCATATGTGCTTTGTTTGTACAATTCTCTTGCACACCCTGTAGAGGTGCCAGGAACCAGATTGTGATGTCAATATGGATGGAGCTCCCTCACGGCCATATCCCCAGCCCACCCCACTCCCACCTCAAACTGACACTTGCCGCCAGGCAGCATATTTTGAATGGCTGCTGGGCACCAGAACTGACAGTTATGTACTATGGGGGAGGCTGAGGATCCTCTCACCTAATGCAGTTGAAGGCATGAGACCCACTGAACATGGGGTCGTGACCCACCAGTTGAGAACCACGGCCTTAGACTATACATTGTTGAAAAGAATGTTTTTTTCCAGACATTATGTTATTTTAAGTATGTATTAGTTAAAACTTACCCACCACCAGAGCCTCCATTCTTGCTAAAGTGTGTCCGAGGCTCACTAGATGCCAGTTTGAGAAGCTCGTTCCACTCTCGCTCCCATTCATCCTCTGTGTAAACCAGTCCGGACTGTACAGGGCAAAAATAGAGATAATTTTGAATATATATGCTGCAAAAAGAAATATATTATCTTTAGTTCTGTCTAGTCCCACTACTGTTGTATATTTTCAGTTATCTTTTGTAAATATAATATTCCAATAGAAGACCTTGGGCCAAAAGCCAGACATCTTTTACGCACAGAGTGGTACAGTGTAAAGACTGATAGCACGATGGTACTTATTTGTACTGATCGTATGTTGGGCCTTGCTTAGCTTTTGTTAAGGTGCCATGTGATACAGGGGGGTTATTTAAAAGAGAACTATGGGGTAAGTTTTTCCCCATAGTTCTCTTAAGGGTCACAGGAGGACATATACTAGCGTGCTCCCGTGACCCAAAGCTCAAAATTCAAAAGTTAGGAGGCAGCTTTCATTTGTAAGGAGCACACAGAGCTCTTGGGATTTGTACATCTGTTTTAATGTACAATTTTGTTTTTATAAATATAAATAAAGGGATGCACAGATACCAGTTTTGCGAGTACGAGTACTGATACATTTTTGTTTATTGTCATGCGACAGTTTTTCTAAAACAATACAGATAATGATTTCAGGACAGTGGTGGAGTGCCAGAGCAAGGTCCCAGATGCAACCGCTGCAACCCTGGTACTTCTCATGAAAATGCCAAGTATCGGCATTGGTACTCGAAAACTATCGGTGCATCCCTAATATCAAACATACTTAAGGAGCTGCTCCGCGCTGCTTCGCCTGCAGTGTGTCACGGCCTTCAGCCTGAAAAAAGAAAACTAATGCAGCCACCACATCTAAGATCTGGTATACTGCAATATATTACATTTTGGTTCTTGGGTTCAGATATACTTTATTGGACTTTCAGAAAAAAACTGCACAGATCTTTTAAGAAGCAATGTTCCCTAATGCAGATCATCAGAGCCTATCAGGCAATGCATTTCTGACTGAAATCATTAATGCCTAATACAATGGCCTACTGAGCCTAATTCAGCCAATCACTGTCCATGAACTGATACTTTGCTTAAAAGTTAAGCCAAGTATACAGAGTTATAATTCCTTCGTTCATCTGAGGGCTGCATTAGGAAAATATAATGGACTTCTCCATCCATGCTGAACAGTGTGGATGAACGAATCTCTCGTCGACTGCTGTCAGAATACCCGAAAGGTGTTTTCAACTGATTGGCTGCAAGACCATTCAGCTGAAGATTAGTCAACATGTTCCTTCAGCAAAAGTCGATCTAATGATTGACTTCTCCTGATGGAATAGAGTCAAAATGCAATTTTTCATGTGCTGATGGAATCACTGACAATAGATGCTGCTTGATGTTTAAAAGTTTTAGTTTCCTGCAGAATTAGCTGGTCCCCTGAGTAATGGCTGATATCCTGTTTAAGGGCCAGTTCACACCATCATCAGTGCATTCCATCATGGTTAGTGGCCGGAACGCACTGGATTGCATAGTAGAAGCCTCCCTGCATTCTGGGGCGTGGCGGTGCCATTTGAGTCAATGGCACTGCAGACACACCTGCTGCCTGCAGTGGAATCACCCGCACCCTCAAATCCCGCAGTCCGATCGCAAAAAATAGTGCATGCACTATTTTTTGCGGTCACACTGGACCGGAACATGGGCATTGCTGTGCCATGTGTTCTGGTCCAGGCGATCGCACTGTGGGCAGGGGGGTGTCTGCTGTGCCATTGACTCGAACGGCACCGCCATGCCCCAGAATGCCGGAACACACTGGAGATGGTGTGAACCGACCCTTAGGGTGGCTCTTTTCCCTTCCAGGGTCCTATGGAGACACCCTTGTGTGTGCTAGTAAACTCTAAGTGTCTCCACAAACACAAAGCAAGGCAATCCACTACCACGATCCCTTCTCCCCTCTTCTCCTTCCTCCAAGTTAGTAGATGGAAAGCTGCTGGACACTAAGCTCCCTTGTGATCTTGTACTGGACAGGATGTTCACGGAAGCCAAGCTAAGAGAGTTTGAGCCAGATGTTTTGAACTGTGATGACTGTAAGTGCTTGGACAACAATGTAAATTGTTTGCATGGCACATTTAAAAAATGTATCCATTTTTCCTTGGTTGAAAAATGATTTACTTACATTATATCCAATCTCCCATTTCCCATACTAATATACTGCCCTGTCTTACTAATTATCAATATGATTTTTCTGCTTAAAATTACTTCTATAATTGTGATCATCATTCAAGTTTCCTATGTTACCCTTGCACTGGGGGGCAGCAGTTTATCTTCTATTACAGGAAATACCAGGGGAACGGTTTCATTTATATATGGTTCTGATATCACTAACCCCATACTTGATACCTGTGATATTGAATGCCTTTCCAAGACATAGCTGCTGTTCAGGGTTATCTCAGGGTGACCTTGGAAGGCCTTTAAAAAGGCTCTAGAGCTTTTTGTCATGAAGAATAAGAACAAATACATAAAAATGAAATGCAGACTATTCCACTAGAGCCTAATCAGAGTGTCCTGTAAGATCAGAGCTGGTTGCCCTGGACAGTTATCAGCATGTAATGTCTCATGTGACAGCAAAGCGCTTATAACAAGGTACTAGAAGACACCTTTATGGGCTCAGCAGCAGGAGTTTAAACAGACAGACACTAATACCTCCTTGTTCTGCTGTGTCTGCTGCCACCTCCATCTCCTCTTCAGTGCCTCTCTCTCTGCGCCACTTCTCATCATGGTATAAAGAGCTTTCCTCAGAACAAGGTCTCGGTCATGAAATCCCCACATCCCTAAGAGACAAGACACAAGCAGTGAGGCAGACAACGTACTGATAAGTACAAAGCCTATTCCATCAGTGAAACCAAGAAGGGACAAGCATCTATCTGATTCCTATTAATCCCTGAAGGTGTTATATTCCACTGCTTCCTTCTGAACCAATAAAAGAAATATGAATGGTGTTAATAAAAGAGTGCATCAAGTAGGAACAGTTTATATGTGCTTCTCCAGTTATATAACAATGCTGAACAAAAAGCAATGGTGAAAAATTACAGAACACAAAGAAAGCAATATGCAATTGGCCTTTAAAGGTTTAGATTGACTAACGAAAGCAGATTTTTGATTGACTGCTAGAGGTTATCAAACATAACTACTTCTCAAAAGGAAAGACCAACGCACGTTCAATAAGCATATGTTAAACTCAATTCAGGAAGCATTACACAAGGATAATTTTTAACCATGGGACTATAATTTTCAATTCTCTCCAGGCTTAGCTGAAAATAACTGTCACTTGACATAAAAGTGACATTAAACTCAAAATGTTGTTTAACTATTTCAAATGCTGAATAAATCACATAAAATAGATGCTGTTCTTTGATGTTTCAAAGTTTTAGATTCCCACAGAATCAGCTGGTCCCCTTAGCACTGGTTCTGATATTTTGTTTTAGGGTGGTTCCTTTCCCTTGCAGGGTCCTATGGATTGTGTGTGCTAGTAAGGTGTGCTTCTCTATAAACATGGGCACAACAAGGCAAGGCCCTCCCCTGCCCAATACTCCTCCTTCCTCCCTTCTCCAAGCTAGTAGATGAAGAGCTGCTGAAGACTGTGCTGCTCCTTGTGATCCTATACTGGCCAGGAAGTTCAGGGAAGCCGAGCTGAGAGAGCTGGAGCCAGTTGTTCGGAAACATGATGACGGTAAGTGTTTGGGCAAAAATGTAAAGAAAAACTTTGCTGGGCAATGTATATTTGTTTGATCTGGATTCATTATAATCATAATTAATGTAAAAAAAAGTAAAACAAAGAATACCTTAAGAATTCTTATCCTGGTGTTTTAGCTTGGTGAATTGAGCCACTTGTGAGTTATTATTGTGTACCCTAAAGTCATTTTCAATGTGACTATTACATTTCTACATGCATTTTTCTTATTGTAATCTAAATGTAAAGATTTGTAGATTAGTCACCGGAGACAGGTCAGCTATTACAATGACTTTGCCCAACTAACTTATGTAAAGATACAAAATCAAAGGGAGTGTATTCTTTTCAATTAGTCGACCAGTTTGTGAAACAGAGCAGTAAAGTACAACCACTATGTAGCACTACAAGGCAGGAAACAGAGCCTGCATATTTAATAGGAACACGGTTTTCAAAAACATCAACACATTGATAAGAATTCTTATATCAAGTTGACCTTTTTTAAATGTATACCTAAAAACATGCTGATAAAACTACACATTCCATTTAACCTACTAATACATATGCTCACATGTGGTAGTTACGGAAATATATTTTAAACAGCACATACATCTAATTTTACATACACCTATAGATTATCTGCATATTTTCTACAGTCAAATGGAAATTTGCACCACATTCCTCCATTTACACTAAACTGTGTGGATGGAGGAATCTCCCACTGGGCTTCAGTATCTTGCTTCAGTATCTTGCTAGTCGGCCTGGCTGGCTCTCAAAATACCTGAACAATCTGATTGGATGCTGGCATTGTTCAGGTATTTTGACAGCCAGCGGGGCCAGCTAGCAAGATACTGAAGCTTGGCCCAGAGGGAGATTCCTCCATCCACACAGTTTAGCGTAAATGGAGGTCAGGATGGGACATTAGCAGGGTAGTAGGTCAGGATGGGACATTAGCAGGGTAGTAGGATGGGACATTAGCAGGGTAGTAGGATGGGACATTAGCAGGGTAGTAGGATGGGACATTAGCAGGGTAGTAGGATGGGACATTAGCAGGGTAGTAGGATGGGACATTAGCAGGGTAGTAGGATGGGACATTAGCAGGGTAGTAGGATGGGACATTAGCAGGGTAGTAGGATGGGACATTAGCAGGGTAGTAGGATGGGACATTAGCAGGGTAGTAGGATGGGACATTAGCAGGGTAGTAGGATGGGACATTAGCAGGGTAGTAGGATGGGACATTAGCAGGGTAGTAGGATGGGACATTAGCAGGGTAGTAGGATGGGACATTAGCAGGGTAGTAGGATGGGACATTAGCAGGGTAGTAGGATGGGACATTAGCAGGGTAGTAGGATGGGACATTAGCAGGGTAGTAGGATGGGACATTAGCAGGGTAGTAGGATGGGACATTAGCAGGGTAGTAGGATGGGACATTAGCAGGGTAGTAGGATGGGACATTAGCAGGGTAGTAGGATGGGACATTAGCAGGGTAGTAGGATGGGACATTAGCAGGGTAGTAGGATGGGACATTAGCAGGGTAGTAGGATGGGACATTAGCAGGGTAGTAGGATGGGACATTAGCAGGGTAGTAGGATGGGACATTAGCAGGGTAGTAGGATGGGACATTAGCAGGGTAGTAGGATGGGACATTAGCAGGGTAGTAGGATGGGACATTAGCAGGGTAGTAGGATGGGACATTAGCAGGGTAGTAGGATGGGACATTAGCAGGGTAGTAGGATGGGACATTAGCAGGGTAGTAGGATGGGACATTAGCAGGGTAGTAGGATGGGACATTAGCAGGGTAGTAGGATGGGACATTAGCAGGGTAGTAGGATGGGACATTAGCAGGGTAGTAGGATGGGACATTAGCAGGGTAGTAGGATGGGACATTAGCAGGGTAGTAGGATGGGACATTAGCAGGGTAGTAGGATGGGACATTAGCAGGGTAGTAGGATGGGACATTAGCAGGGTAGTAGGATGGGACATTAGCAGGGTAGTAGGATGGGACATTAGCAGGGTAGTAGGATGGGACATTAGCAGGGTAGTAGGATGGGACATTAGCAGGGTAGTAGGATGGGACATTAGCAGGGTAGTAGGATGGGACATTAGCAGGGTAGTAGGATGGGACATTAGCAGGGTAGTAGGATGGGACATTAGCAGGGTAGTAGGATGGGACATTAGCAGGGTAGTAGGATGGGACATTAGCAGGGTAGTAGGATGGGACATTAGCAGGGTAGTAGGATGGGACATTAGCAGGGTAGTAGGATGGGACATTAGCAGGGTAGTAGGATGGGACATTAGCAGGGTAGTAGGATGGGACATTAGCAGGGTAGTAGGATGGGACATTAGCAGGGTAGTAGGATGGGACATTAGCAGGGTAGTAGGATGGGACATTAGCAGGGTAGTAGGATGGGACATTAGCAGGGTAGTAGGATGGGACATTAGCAGGGTAGTAGGATGGGACATTAGCAGGGTAGTAGGATGGGACATTAGCAGGGTAGTAGGATGGGACATTAGCAGGGTAGTAGGATGGGACATTAGCAGGGTAGTAGGATGGGACATTAGCAGGGTAGTAGGATGGGACATTAGCAGGGTAGTAGGATGGGACATTAGCAGGGTAGTAGGATGGGACATTAGCAGGGTAGTAGGATGGGACATTAGCAGGGTAGTAGGATGGGACATTAGCAGGGTAGTAGGATGGGACATTAGCAGGGTAGTAGGATGGGACATTAGCAGGGTAGTAGGATGGGACATTAGCAGGGTAGTAGGATGGGACATTAGCAGGGTAGTAGGTCAGGATGGGACATTAGCAGGGTAGTAGGATGGGACATTAGCAGGGTAGTAGGTCAGGATGGAATGTTAGCAGGGTAATAGGTCAGGAATGGATGTCAGTCATGATTCCCACACTCATGCCATTTTCAGACAATTGTATGACGGTTATGAAAGTTTGGGGTTTTAGCTATAGAAGATAATAAGATCAGCATGTTAGCTGTTGATGGGAGTTAAAAGGACTTAGGATGGTAAGGCTGGCTATACACTTGTAGATTCTCATACAGATGTTTATACAAAAAATGCAATTCAAAACTTTTTATAATGGCCACTGACTTGATGAATTCCGCTTGCAATTTAAAGGGTTATTTAAAGGGTGAAGGGTTTGGAGATGGCAGGAGAAGTGAACAATCTAGGACAACATAGCCGATTTGGAAAAATTCTCCAATTCAACTCACTTTCCAGTTCAGCTATGTTGTCCTAGGTTGTTCACTTCTCCTGCCTTCTCTAAATTCTTCACCCTTTTGTGAATAGTCCTGTTAATTTGTATCAATTTTGAAACCAACAGTTTTCTGAATGAAAACCACAATCATTGTTAGAATTTTGTTCATTCAAGAACAAATTCAATCCTGCACCTTCGATTTATTGGTCACTATGGTCTAAAACGATCAATGATTAACCATTAGAAAATTGAACTAAGATTTCAAAAACATTTTTTTCTAATGAATTTCTATTGGTATAGGACCAACTTTAGTTTGCACAAGTAGATGCAGAACTGAAGCCCAGAGGGGCTCCGTTTCATATCCAGCACTGGGGACATGGTATACAAAAAACAAAACAAAAACATATATATATATATATATTACACATTTACAACAATAACTGTGTTCATTACTGGATTCAAATAAACGACAGATGCAGGCATAGGTTCATGACAGTAGTAGCTATAAACTAGGCTCTCAAACAAAACAAAGACCCATACGTTACCTAAAGAAGCAGCATGAAGTAAACAGTTTCCATCTCCAGTTGTTGCTAAAGGCAGAAGACGTTTACAGCTTGAGCATGTTGTAGACCACCAGTTCAGCCTCCCTAGGATAAAAGGAAGAGAACATTAAACAGGAGGAACAGCTTGGTACTGCCCATGTTGTTGCAAGATCAGCCTTTCCACTGGTGTCTAATCATTTGAATAATAAAGAACTATTGCAGAAAACTGTGAATTGCAAATATTTATTGTACTGTTTTAAAAAATTGGTCAATATACACAATACCAGTGGGATTGTTTGGGGTTATCTGTTAAAGTTAAATCCAGATTTCAGCTAAAACTATTTTTTTTTTTTAGTTCTGGGTAGGGTGTAGGAATCTCTGTCAATTTTAAAATTTTTATATAAGGGTTAGTGCTTGGAGCTAAAAAGTAACAAGTAAATTGTAGATAGCAAGGCTATGAGGGCTCATTGCACAGGCACTACCAGCGTTAAAGAGGATTGTGAGTGGACAATGTAAACAAAGCCAGGGCTATCATCCTGAGGTAAGAACTTTTAGGGGGCTTAGGCCACTTTCACACGGGCTGATCAGTAGTTTTCTCCATCTTGCTATGGAAGAAAGAACTAAAACTGCCAGACCCCATATCGGTCTATGGGGAGTCAGATGTAAACAGACATGTGTCCGTTTACATCAGATTACCCCCAATCCAGCAAAAACAGAACACTGTTCCACTTGTTTTTCCCAACGTGGTCGGAATCGGGGGTAACCGGGTGTAAACAGATGATATAGACTAGCACTGGGCATCTGATTGGATTGACCTGAAAAACTGACAGGCGGGCCCCGATTCGACCGCCTGCGTGAAAGGGGTTCTAGAAAGATTCGCTCAACAGGGCTAGGGAGAAGGCAAACCGCCAACAAAAAAAAATCAGTGTTTGAATATAATATCTGAGCAAGACACGGCATAGAGAACAGGAGAGTTGGAGCTGCCTTCTTCACCACCCTCTAAGAGTGCTTATTCCCCCCTCTGTTTCTAAGGGGATTATTCACAAAGCTGACGAAGGCAGCCAAGTGAATAACCCAGCCGAAGTGAAGTGAGCCGAATGCTGTTCGGCTATTCACCTCTGGCTTGCACGACTGATTTCACCCGTACATCGGCTAAAATCAGCCATACATTGGCTGCCTTCAGTCATCCGAACATGCTCTGCATGTTTGGCTCAGCCGAAGTGCAGAAGGAGTTCGACTCAGCCAATCCAACATCTGGATCGGCTCAGGCAGCTCACTCGCTGCCGTTCGCCCCAACGGCAGTAAGTGAATAGCCTTCGAGGTACCGAGCAGAATAGAAAGTAAGTGAAATGAATAAAAATAAAAAAAAAGTTGAACAATTATTTTAAAATGTAAGAAAATAGGAAAATGTTAAAAAAAACATTACAAATAGTTTAAAGAAAAAACAAAAAAACGCAAGCAAAGATGTTGGCAAAAGAAAAACAATTGGGCGAAGCTAGCAAAGACAGCTAGCTCCGCTCAACTGTTTTTTATTGGCCGGCACTTGCCAGAGTCTTCTAGCAGGTCCCAGTCAATGAATAACAACCGGGCGGAGCCGGCCGTGACGTCACTGCCGGCCCCGCCCAGTTGTTATTGTTCAATGACAGTTCAATGTCCCCAGGTCATTTGGGGAAGCTGATCTGTCACTACAACTGGGTGGAGCGAGCTGTGAGATCACGGCTGGCTCCGATCAGCTGTCATTTGCGTGGAGATCGGTCAGCTGCGGCCGATCTTTCTCCACGCTTCGGCTGACACTTCGGCTCGGTCGAGCCGAAGCATATGCCTTCGGCTCGGCTGAGCCGCTTGGCTGCTGTATGGGCTAATAGCCTGTACAGCAGCCCTTCGGTTCGACTGAACCGAAGGGCAGAGGCGGCTGAAGAGAGCCGAAGGATCAGCCGAAGCTCAGCTGGATCCTTCAGCTCATTAGTGAATAACCCTCTAACAGAGAAGCGATTCGGCAGTTCAGGTAAGTTCAGTTACCTAGAGGTGCCCGCCTCATGAGGCATGACTACACAGTGATTCTGTCAGGCAAAGTTTCAATAATTCTGAGTAGTGTTAGAGCTTGCTGTTGTGTCCCACCTCCCCACATTCCTTTTTGGCCCACTTCAGTCTTCAATAGAAATTTGTAGGAGGCAGAAAGGGGCAGGCAAGCTTTGATGCGGATGGGCCAGAGCTTTCACTGTCCAAATAGCTCAACATTTGCTTATAACCGCAGGTTCTTCAGGATGGTACAGGTTTATGCAGGGACTTTAATGTGTCTGCACTTTATATCTGAAGGAGTTTACATTTTTTTAGAGAGTCTCCTTAGGAACTGTGACTACCCCTTTTCTATATGTGTTGAACCACTTTCTTTCCTAGTGTGTATGCATTTTTAATGTGTTGTTCATCCACATCTTTTTTTTTTCTTTTTACTGTTAATGGTAATAAATTTTTCAATGCGAAGCCTGCAGTAAACTGAAATGAGATTGGTTGCTAAGGGTTACTGTCCTTTGCAGATCATCACAGCTCTTTGTCTCGTGTACTCTGCATGCAGTGTGCCGCTGTGTTGTACTGGGACTGCGTACAGATCAATAAGTCATTTCTTTCTTTGTGGTTAAGGTAAAGACCTGCCATAAAACTTACAAAGCCCTAAATACAAATTGTTTCCTATAATCTGGTCTACATTTGAATCCATTTATAATTTCTGAAGTGGAAGGAAGCAATCGATAACCTTGCTGCCCAGGCATGTGATTCTCAAGTTCAAGGAATAAAAAATATAGTTGGATTTCTCCGTTTTGCTTCGTCAGCTGAAGAAGGGATAGAGTATCCCAGATACCGGTTGTGGTGCAGTTTAACCACAAATCGTTTCTAGACCTGCACTTACACCCGGGCATGTGGTGTTCTTATTGAAAACTATTTTCTTCAGGGCAAACCTCATATGATAAAGTGTTTAAGGACAAATGAGAGACTGCTATGCAATTAGGGTCTTGGTACAATGCCTATGGATGGGGTGTATATGGCACTGCTTACGGTATGCATGGATCATAAAGGAATGCAGTTGGCACTGTTCTCGGTAACATACAATATATTTTTTCTTGGTTTAACCCAATGGGCCTTAAAGGAAGCTTTCCTCGTATGCAGGAATGCATGAAGTATATAGTATGCAGGCTGCCATGTCAGATTTCTCATTCTGCAAATTTTGGCTGTCTCTCTGTCATGTAGATTTTTTTTGCTTCAGTACTTTGAGTTGCTAACTCAGAACAATACTGTGATATGGCCTTTTAAATTTACTCTGATTTTCTTTACCTGCATACTTGCAGTGCAATTATCAAAGCCAGGGGATCAGCAAATTAGTTATTTGTGATCATTTTTTTTTTAAAAAGGTCAGCAATGGCAGCCCCCTAATTTTTTCCCAGGAAAGGTTACTTTAACACAATACAGGCTAGCATTTCAGAAGGAAAATTCCAAGTAATTACATTACTAAATACTAACAGCTAAGTGGACATTTTTAAATGTATAGCTCTCTAAATCTTTATTATAGTTTTTTACCTTAAAAATCATAGGGTATGGACATTCAGTAACATGAACGAGAGGTAGCATGAATTAACTAATAGTGCGGTGACGCCACTGCATTGAAGTTTCTCCATTCACAGATCCTCTTAAAGGACCTGGGAATGGATGATGTGGCTGTGTATAAACCATGTTTCATTATACCCAGAATTAGTTGGATAACACAATTTATATTCAGAGGAGATCATTTTGTGATGAGGGCAACACAACACGGTGCTCTCATATAAAAAGTGAAAAATTAATCTGGTGCATATAATAACAAAGAAGAACTCTCTGGCTTTTGCACGATAGGATATTAAAAGCTGAAGATCATCTTGGGAGTCTAGGTAATAAAGTCTTTGGGATGGATATGCTCACCCAGATCCCCACTGTACTCTGCAGAGAGATAATATTTTATTGTAGTTTACTACCTTTAAAATGCTTACCTGTTGGATTAAAAAGAGAATTCTTCATGAGCCTGATTATGTGAAGTGAATGATTGGAATGTTTTATGTATAGACAGCTGAAGAGAAGTGTACACCAGAGCTAGTGGCACTAGCACTGGTGTACATTCATTTGTTCCTTGATTCAGAGCAGCAATAAATGCCCTTTGCAGCAAGATATTCCCAGCAGTCCTTTTCATCAATCCATCACCCTAGGTATAGGAATGGTAATATGGGGTACAGCTCCCCCCTCCCTTACCCTGCACCCTCCACAGGGGATTTTACCTCTACACATGTTAAGGCCATTTAAGTGATCTATTTAAAACGGGGATGTGATGTAAGCTGAATTTTCCTATTCTGTGACCTTAACTTGCTGACTAGCCCCCTGTGAATCAGGCACCTTAAAGGCTCACTGGTGTTAATTGCAAGGCTTTACGCACGGAGATGAAATGGAGAGCAGCTAGTACTTATCTTTAGGTGTGTGTGTAACAGCCAGGGAATGCGGCCATGTACAGTGACAGCCTCTCATGCCCTTAAAGCTGAAATCCTGCCTGCTTTACAAAAACAGTTATGCACAGTGACAGCCCTACAAAGCTCTAAAAGGAAAACTATAATGGTTTTGAAAATGTAAAGTTCTTTTTTTTCCACCATTTGTATTAGAAACAAACAAAAACTTCAGTTGGCCATTAACTGTTCATTTTTTTTTTTCCATTCAACCCCGTGGACTGAACAAAAAAAAATATAACAGACTCCTCAATCCACACTAAATAGCATGGATGGATGAATCTCATAGTAGGCTGTTGTATTCTGACAGTGGCAGTCGACTGGCTGCCGTCATGGTGTGCCTGAAAAATTTCCATTGATTTTCTGATCTAAGTATGATGGATGGAATGGAACCGACATGGCCACCCACTGAATAAATTTCGAAGGGTTCATCAAGAACTGGCCGTAATTCCCACAGTGTATAGCCAGCTTTACACTACAAAGTATTTGAACTGTACTTCCAAAGTATTGTAGATTTTCTAGTAAAATGCCCAGCCACACCTCCGTGTTTGGCAGCACCCTGTGACTAATAACTAATCAAGACAGTACCTAAACTGTGACTGCATTGACCAATATGTAGTTCATCTGGCACAGAAATACTATACAAGTTACTGCTGAAACTTAAAAGGTTTATATAACAGAGTGCCCTGGGAACCCAAAACATTGGGTGCTCCCTTATGCAAACTCTAAATTCATCTAGGAATTCAGTGTTTGCCTTCCCAAACCTTCACAATTGGTCAACAAATGTGACTGACATTTGGAGTTGAGGGAGTGGTTCAGGGAGGGATTATCCCCCATTAAAATGAAGTATAGGAATATCTTATGGTACCATAAAACAAAAATATGATCTGACAGGTTTTGCGGTCAGCAGTCTGATAAGGTTTTCTTGGATAACGTTTCTACAGTTTCATGTAAAGTTATTTTTTTAATTTTTACTCACAGGAATCAGATCATTTATTAATTGGCATATGTGTTATTTTTAATTAATGTGTTCAATACACCAAAACATAAGCACATCGGTTTCCCACATAGATACACTCACTTTTCCCCTTTCACATTCATCTCTAACATTCAATGAACAGGACCAATTTGTTATTCTTGGTGTTCCTTGTGGTGTTGATGATATAATTGTTTACAAATGTCCTTGAAATATAAAATATGCAGCCAGTTGGGGAATCCAATTAAATAAGAAATCTCCTGATATATGAAATGTAGTGGGATGCCAGGAGGTTAACTAAAGTAGGTCAGGCGTAAAAGAGCCGGTTTTCAAGAGGTTAGCCGTGCATGTGCACTGGGTCGTTCTTTTCTCCCTTCTCTGAACAGCGAGACAAGTATATGTTGTCACAGACGTAGAAAACAAAAGTTCCCATGTGGAAACACTGCTATAACAAGACGTTTAGACTGTTGATTTTCAAGTAGCTATTCAGCTGATTGCATTCATATTATTATATCTTGTTTTTTCATCTGCACTATTATATCTTGCTTTTTTCATCTGTTTTCAAAGTTCTACTTTGATTATTTGTTCTGGAAACTTTAAATGCTGCTGTTTCTTTCCACCTATGTGAATTATACAAAGTGGCGCATGCCCAATGGTGAAACATTAAAGAAAGCCTCAAGATATGCACATATGTACTGTAAACCATTCTGTAAAGTATAGAATGTTTAGCTGTTATATACAATGCAACCTTTCAATAAATAAGCACTCAATATTTCATATGGATCCTGCTGGGCCACTACTTGTATGTAGCGAATAAGTAGAGACAAAAAAAAAAAAGAATAATATATATATATACACACACACACAACCTTAAATTTTTATTTTGCTATATAGAGTCGCAAAAAAAAAAATATTAAAAAAGGCACCAGACACTTGTCTGTTAAGGTGTCCGTACACTTGCCGTACAGACAATGTGCATACGGCAAGTGTAGGAACACGGTGGCAGAAGACAAGCGTCATCACCCAACTCAGGGTGATGATGCTGGTCTTCTGGAGCCGTTTACCACCAAAACAATGACTACCTACAATAAACCTCATTGTAAAAAGGAACACTAAAGCAAAACCACAGTGTGATAATTCATAGGAGGATGCAGAGCCGGTTTATGTAATTAACAAATATGGCTGCCACTCTGTAAATATAACAATCACAAACAAGGTCCCTCAAACAAGAATACACATTGATAAAATTATTTACATTAAAGTTACATTAAAGGATATTTTTTTTTACACTCCCCTAATGTTAATGTGAGCACTTAACTTAAATGTTGTCTCTTAATCCAATCTTCCTCTTCTTTCCTGATGTTTTCATCTGTCTCTCCAGCGCTGCGGCGGGAGTCCGATACAGTGTTGACTGATCTGTCCTTGCTGGCACTTCCGATCCCACGGTGTCTGCATGCGGGTGCACGCGTCCATAGACTTACCTTACGTCTCTCCTCGTCTCCCGGCCGAAAATCCGAACTGCGCATGCGCCCGCCCCAAGATGCTTTGCGGCCACCCGAGCCGTTTCGGATTCTCGGATGGGAACGTGCGGCAAAGACGGGGTAAGTTTTTTTTTTTTTTACTTTTTGCAATTTATTATTATACAGGATTTATATAGCGCCAACAGTTTGCGCAGCGCTTTACAATATAGGGCAGGCATTACAATCACAATACAATTCAAGACAAGATGGTAAGGAGGGCCCTGCCCCTGAGGGCTTACAATCTAAAAGGGAGGGGGAAGTGATACATGAGGAGGGAGCTGCGTGGGGATGAATTGTTTGAGAACGTGATGGTTGAGCGGTTAGGTTGAGGTGGGATAGGCTTCCCTGAATATCTACTGCTTGCTAGCAGTAAATATATGCAAAAAACGGGTTTAGAACCCCTTTAGGGTTTAGAAACCCTTTAAGCTGATCTCTTTTACAAACAAAACCAATAAATACAGTGTCTTTGATAAAATAAAATAAGGCTTCCCTGTACTAACTTAAAAAACAAAGATGTTCAAAAAAATTTTTTTTTTAAATTGCGGTATACAGAAAAATATAAAAATATGAAACCAAAGTGATTTTTATATTTTACTATTGTGCAGATTCAAAATCAGAATACTTTCAAACAGAAATTGATGAAACACATTGCTTACCTGCCTGCTCCAAAGCCACCATTGTCGACTGTTCAATTAAATCTCTTTCTATAAAGACTCTGAAGTCCTCGCTGTAAACACTGAGGTCTGGTAGTTGGAATGTATAAATGGGCATCTCTAGAGGGAAAGGATCACTGCTGCATTCATTGGCCACATGCAGACGAGCCAAGGACACAATGGCTGAACTGGCATGAGATATGCCTCTCGACAGTCTTTTTTCTACACACGGGGAAAAAGAAAAATGCAGAACTCATTAAAGCCCCACTCCACAAAAAAAAAAAAACAATTGTCCTGCACTTGTAAAATAAAATGCAGCTTTCACCACTATACTCGCTTTCAATCCGACTTGTCTGCTCATCCACTATGATGTTCCTTTTCCAGGTTGAATGATACCCAGTGTCATTCAACCCACTTCATGTGAGCCCATAGTACTGCTGAATAGAATGTTACTAACAAGTTTTTACATGAGTGGCACTCTGTAAAGGAGTAATGATGACCACCTATTGCAAATGTTGGAAGAGAAGAGGAAGGACCCGTAATATCACATGACCATTGAGAAGCTAGAGAATTAAAGCCAAACCTTTTTTTTGGCTTTATGCCTGGTTTGAGTTGCAGGAATACATTTACTATTGTGCTCCTGTGACCCAGAGTCAGTAGATAGAGAGCTAATGCCTGCCTGGCCAGCCCTGCATACATAACCTGCATGCCTGCTGACAGAACAGAGCCGTGCTGCAGCCAGGACGGATCCTGACCATATTGTCCAAATCCCCCCTTGCTGCTTAAAAGACAGCTGGCTCTGCCATGCTAGAGCCAGAGCCAGCTGTGCCGGCCCCCTCCCTTGTCTGTCCATTCAATGAGCACTGGAAGAACAGAGAGGGGAATCCCTGCGGAGAGCGGCGATTGGCAGTCACTGCTCTCTGCAGGAAGAAGAGACCGAGAGCTGAGCAAGGTATTATGCCAAAAATGTGTGCTAACACAAATAGATACACATTAATGTGTAAAAAAAACATGTAAAAATCCTACAATAATGTTCGTTGATGGCACAGATTACACACACACATATTGGCACATACAATGTGCGTGCATAAAGGAAAATGTGACGCTAAGCAATGTAATTGCTTGTTCACACTCCTATGCTTTTTACAAAAAAAATATTTTTCTCCTTTTTACAGGAACTCTCCGCTCACTTGAGTTACGGTTTAAGGTGCTTCATAGTGTATGCTTCAACAGCACCATTAATTAATTTCATTCATGCATTTCATATACCTTTCTAATGCTATCCACATCAATCATTTAGTAAAAAAAATTTAGGTTCCACTTTTTCAGCTGTTCTTAAGTGGTCATGTGACTACTATGCACCCTGGTGGTAAAGGTTGGGGCAGAGCCTTCTGGTTCTGCGCTATTCAGCCATGTATTTACAGGCGGTGGAGGCTGTTGGTGTGGAGCCTTCTTGTGCTGGGCTATTTGGCCCTGTATACACTCTGTGTCTGGAGGCTGGATAAATTGCAGCTTGAGCTTCTGATGTCAGTACAGTAAACAAAAAAAAGCTAAAGAGAGCCTTAAAACATCCATGACACAACCAGAAAAAGGTAAGCATACCAACACCTGGCTAGAAAAAAAAAAAGTAGAATGCACCAGATTGTGCAGGATATCACAGCAAATACCAACAAAAAATCATAGACTCACTACAATAAAAATCAAGAGGTACCACCACAAACATCAATGCGCAATGGGCCTGTAAACTTGTTGCATACTCATTGCAGACTGAAGAGGATCTTGATATTATTGTGGATATTTACTTAAAGTAACATTAAATCCAAGAGGTAAACCTTAAAAATACATATCAAGTATCCTATTAATAAAAATGTATCTGAGTTGTGTATCACTGGGCTGTAGATCCTCAAATAATCTCAGAATTCATGCTGACATTGTCCTTCCTTCTGGAGGGTGGCTACTTCTGTTCCCCATGGACCCTTTATGGATGTAAAGTAGTCACCACTCCAAGCTCGCTCCTGTGATGGACTACAATCTCACATTTAGTTTACTAATTTGTATTGAGGCTGTAGTCCATCACGGGAGTGAGCTTGGAGTGGGGGGCTACTTTATAACACACACAGGGACCATGAGGGACAGAAGTAGCCACCCTCCAGAAGGAAGAACAGTTTCAAGACCAATTCAGAGATGATTTGAGGATCTACAGCCCAGTAATACACAAATAAGCTACATTTTTCTTAATATCTTAATAGAAAATAGAGTACTATTAATATCTTAATAGAGTACTGGAATGTATTTTTAATGGTTTAAAATGGGTGTTTACCCACTTTGACAAAAAAAATCACATCAGCATACAGCTCTGCATGCGGATATGAAATCATCTTCCATTATTTACAATTTATTTTTTTCCACTTCCTGGTCCACTTTGGTACAAATGATATAATTGTGCCCAAGCATTGCATCCTGGGAAGGTTACATCAGCAGAGAATTGGTGGAACATCTATTCTGTAATCTCTCAAGATTTCAGGGAAAAACATGTTCCTCCCTTGAGATGATGGTCACATGTCCCGGTCACATTTCCAAGAGTTCCAGGGAGTAAAAGGAGATCTATTAACCTGCCCTTAGTTAAAATGGCCATTGTGATGAGACTGAAGAGGAAAAGATAAATAAGGTATGCAAAAAAATTGAAAGCCTGCAATAATATAGAATACATGTTTGTAGATTGTCATTACTAAACATTTCTAAAAGGTGTCTTTGTTGTTATTTTGAAGATATGGGTAAAGTTCCTCTTTAACTCCTGAGTTTAGTGTTACTTTAAATGTTGTTATCCTGCACAATCAACTGTATGCTGGCTTTTGCTTTCAAGTCTTAAAACATGTAAAGGAATATCTGAAAAAATAAATCAAAATAATAATATGAGATTCTCCATATGCACCAGAAAAAACTATAATTGAAGCACTTATTTCTTGGGGCTTCTACATAAAAAATATGTACAAAACTGAAATGTGTTCCCTTTAATGATACGTTTGCTAGACTTCACTAGTGCTGGGTTGGGTGTAATTATTGTTAGATGTAGAGCTTAAAGTGGAAATCCAGCTATTCACAAAATTAGCTCTTGCTGTGGGGCTACTCCCACACTGCAAGGGTCAACTGCTCATTTTGTTCGTGGGGCCGGAAAACAGAAGATATTCTCACCTGACCCTCAGTCCTGTGGCAGTCAGCTCTCACCTTCCTCCCCTTATGTCCATTGGCATCCTGACGTCTAATGCAGGACCAGGTGAATAGACCTGCATTAGACATAACATCCATAGGACAGGTCTAGCAGCCAGATGGGATAGAGAATCTAGCCCCTAGGCCAAAAAGAGGAGTTAACCCTTGCAGTGCAAGTGTATCCACACTCCAAGGGTTAATTTTGTTAATTCTTGGAATTCCTCTTTAAAAATATATTAAACTCTCAATCTTTTACTTTTCAATAATAAGTCTAGATGAAACAAATATGCTTTGCCTTACAAAGTGTTTCTTTACATGTTTGCCCAAGCACTCACACTTGTACTTACTCATCATTTTCCCTAACAGCTGTCTCCAACTATCTCAGCTCAGCTCCCCTGAACTTCCTGTCCAGTACAAAATCACAGGAGACAGAACAGTCTTCAGCAGCTTTTCATCTACTGGCTTGGAGAAGGAAGGAGGAGAGGGGGATAAGGAAAGGGGGGAAGAATAGTGGTTTGCCCTGCTGTACCTGTGTGTTTGTGGAGATGCACACAGCTTACTAGCACACACAAGGGTGACTCCGTAGGCCCGTGGAAGGGAAAGGAGCCACCCTAATACTGGAAATCAGGTCCATTGTTCAGGGGATCAGTTGATTCCACAGGAAACTATGTTTTAAACATCAAAGAGCAGCATACATTGTAAGTAATTTCTTCTGCATTTGAAATAACTTAAAAACATGTTGACCTTAATATAACTTAAAGGCCACTCTTCCAGAACACCTTTAAAACTTTATTATAAAAAAAACAAAATCACAATCCATCCTCCCAACTGCATTTACAAAATAGTGCTTTCTTTAGGTACTCGATTATGTATTTAAATGTATACTATGGTCACTATGTTGCCCCGAGGAAGGGACCCTGCGTGGCCCCGAAACGTTTGCTTTACGACGCATGTGACATGATGTAACTTCAATAACTGCAGCAATAGTTTACGCATCAATCCTGTTGAGTGCTGGTGATCTTGCTTTGTAATCTGGATGAACACGGCGAAATCCGTGACATCATTACGAACACTAGTGTATACTGTGATGTCTTTGGTAACACAGATCTCATATAATTAGTACTGAAACCCCAAATCTAAAAAACATGAGTCTCAGGCCTGTCATGGAAACTGCCAGTGCCAACTTGTTTTTGAAGGTACAAGCTTTGGTGAAGTAATCCATATATGTACCTCAGTACTAAGTGAACTCCCTGGCTTGGAACAACCATGCAAGCAGACATGTCTGAACATCTGACCTGTATATTAAGAGATTTACACAAAGTTGGCAAAGACGGCTTCCATATTTCTATCCTAATCAGCTCCCTTTAATAGGTAGCCTAGTAAGGAGAATGCTAAATATGCAATCTTCTGTGAAATCCCTATTCATTCTTTAAGAAAGTTGCCATACCTTGAGCGATATCATCTTGTCTTTGGAGGTTTGGTCTGTCGATCTTGTTGATATGCTGGGTGATTTCTCTGTCCTGCTGCTTATAGTATTTGCCTTCATTAAACACTTGAGGCAAATTTGCTGTGTGCACCTGCCGTAGTTGTTCATAGTCACTTAGAGCAGCTGTGAGGTCCCAGTTCTTCCCTGACAAGTAGAAATGTTTGACAAGCAGATTAACAACTATACAGCAAGTGACAAAATGTGCAGCATTTATAGAGACAGCTTGTTGCCTTTATACATTTTCATTCTAATAGCATTTGTACAATAATTCACAGCCAAATACCGATTTCATTTAATTATAGAGAGGTTTTGTAGAGGCCAGACATGAAAACCAGTTTGATTGTTGGACGTAAGATTTTGAGCACACGGTATTTCCTGAGTAGTGTTGATATACATGGCCGGGTTAATAAAGCTAGTCATAGACAGGCAGATATTGCTGTAAGAACAAATAGTGGTCAGACATCTGCCCACCCTACAATCTATCACAGCACTGTCAAATGCAATGGCAGATAAAATGCTACGGTGCCCTTACTTGGGTGTACACAGTCATATGCTAATGCTACACAAACAAAAAAAATGGGGAGATACAGAAATAAACAATTTTGCTCTTAAAAGGAAAAAGGAGAACTAAATACCCCAATAATACAAAGAAACAAAGCAGGGTGGGGGAGGGGCGGGGGGCTTGTAGTCTGCACATCAGTAGTGTTAAAGTACAGGTGAAACTCGAATAATTAGAATATCGTGCAAAGTTCATTTATTTCACTAATGCAACTTCAAAAGGTGAAACTAATATATGAGATAGACTCATTACATGCAAAGCAAGATAATTCAAGCCGTGATTTGTCATCATTGTGATGATTATGGCTTACAGCTCATGAAAACCCCAAGAACCCCAAATCCACAACCTCAAAAAAGTAGATTATTACATGCAATCAATAAAACAAGGATTGTACATAGAACAATATCGGACCTCTGAAAAGTACAAGCATGCATATGTACTCAGTACTTGGTTTGGGCCCCTTTTGCAGCACTTACTGCAATTACTTTTGCACGATATTCTAATTATTCGAGTTTCACCTGTATATTGCTAATAAAGGAGAGGCACTGGAGCCTGTCAAAAGTTGTCATACCATATGACTTTTCCTGTTACTGGAGGGCCTCCTTTATTACATTTAACCGATCCCACTCCCCCTTTACTTGAGGATTTAGCTTCTGCAGATTCAGGGGTCTTGCACTGGCTTGGCAGTGGTGATCAGTAACAGTCTCAGCATGGCTCTGGTGGTAAGAAGTCTCAGGTACTGGAGTCCCCTGAACCCAACTCTGTAGAGTATGTCACTGCACAGTTACAGGGCCCTGTGTTTGCCCTAATGCACATGAGCAGTACCCTCATTTTATGTGCCCAGTGTATACTGTCTGCACCACTGGCCTATGACCATAATATAATGCATCTTTATTCTTAGGGTGCATGTACATTCTTTCTGTGAGAATGGAGGCAGAACTTAATGGTACGAACATATTTTCTGAGTTAAATGTAGTATCAGTTAAATACAGCATTATAGCCACTAGACAGAGGTAAGAAGCTTCCTGTGCCTGGAATGTGCTAAAAAAATGTGCTAATAGTGTCCTGGTTGCTATGACCACGGCGGTGATTTTTAGATGTCAAATTTGTACATAATTAGATTGGAGCTTTAGGGGATCTTACTTGACGGCTAATTGTATTATTGTTATTATATTTACAGAACAAACCTACTTACTTTATTCATCTGTGTACAAGTGAAATTATCTCTCTATCTCACATTTGTGTATATTTACTGTTGGGGAGAGCATTTTCACTGGAATTCTGTGATATTGCATTGGTATATACTGTGGCAGGGATCCCAACCTGTTAGCAAAGAAGCTATTGCTTCCTGTGCTATCTGCAGGTTTTTATTCTGATTTTTTTTTAGTATTCTGACAGTCGTCAGAGCTGCAGTCGTACCTTTCCGGGAGGAAGTGTTTCTCTCCCGGGCGGCCGGGAACCGCTATCTAATAGCGGGAGACTCCCGGAGCGTCCGGGAGAGTTGGGATGTCTGCTGTGGGTTAGTGATAGCTTGCACTAATTTGTCACTTTTGCCCGATGAAGGGACCCTGAAAGGTTCTGAAACGTTACATAATTCTTGCTTGTTTATAAATACATCCCTTAGTTGCTCACTGAGCACAGTGCATGTGATACATTAAAGGAGAACTATGAGGTGAGGGATTTTTACTCAACCTCATAGTTCGAGCCAACGTGTGACAATGAAACTGTCACAAGTCGGCTCAATAGATCGGGAAGTGAGCGAACACATACCGTCGCTCACTCACTTCTTGTGGATCTCGACAGTAATGTCGGGATCCGTCACAGCTGCGGTGGTCTCAGTATACCGCGAGCTACAGCGGTATATTTACCTGGGATGTCTACTGGGCACTTGTTTGGACAGATTTAGGTGAGTTATTCCTAAGATTTACTAAGAATTACAGGCCCAGAGTATAAACAACAAATTTCCATGCAAAAAAATTGTACCGCTTTTGGTACAAAATTCCTGACATAATCATACCGCCAGGGAGGTTAATATACCTATCATACATAGTTTCTTCCATCTCTGTGCCCCGTGTATATAAAGTATGTACCTCTTTAGGTCCACACACAAGAGCTCATGTACAAGGGACACATGAACCAAGTGTACACATTGGAGATGATTTACTAAAGGCAAAGAGCCTGCTCACTTTGCAGGGGGAATTTTCACTCAGCTTAATGAATGTGGTGAAAATTCACTTTGCAAAGAATACCCAACCACACTCAAGGAAAATAAAAACAAAAAACAGTAATTTAGCACTCGGGATAGAAGGTAAGATGTAAAAGAATTGTTGATAAAAATTCATAAAATTGCTAAAATGTCTAAAATTTATCAGGAAATACAAAAGTGTATAAAATATATATTTATACAGTGAGCAAAATAATTATTTGATCCCCTGCAAATTTTGTACGTTTGCCCACTTACAAAGAAATGAAAGGTCTATAATTTTTTATCTTAGGTGTATTTTAAATGATAGAGACAGAATATCAACCACAAATCCAGTAAAAAACACATGATACAAATGTTATAAATTGAGTTGCAGTTCAGTGAGTAAAATAAGTATTTGATCCCCAAGCAAAACATGACTTAGTACTTGGTGGAGAAACCCTCGTGGGCAAGCACAGAGGTAAGACGTTTCTTGTAGTTGGTTACCAGGTTTGCACACATCTCAGGAGAGATTTTGGTCCACTCTTCTTTACAGATCTTGTCTAAATCCTTAAGGTTTCTTGGGTGTCGCTTGGCAACTCAAAGTTTCAGCTCCCTCCATAAATTTTCTATAGGATTAAGGTCTGGAGACTGGCAAGGCCACTCCATGACCTTAATGTGCTTCTTTTTGAGCCATTTATTATATTAGAATTTTTTAATTTTGTGTTTCAAACTTTATCATACCTGGGATGTCTACTGGGCACTTGTTTGGACAGATTTAGGTGAGTTATTCCTAAGATTTACTAAGAATTACAGGCCCAGAGTATAAACAACAAATTTCCATGCAAAAAAATTGTACCGCTTTTGGTACAAAATTCCTGACATAATCATACCGCCAGGGAGGTTAATATACCTATCATACATAGTTTCTTCCATCTCTGTGCCCCGTGTATATAAAGTATGTACCTCTTTAGGTCCACACACAAGAGCTCATGTACAAGGGACACATGAACCAAGTGTACACATTGGAGATGATTTACTAAAGGCAAAGAGCCTGCTCACTTTGCAGGGGGAATTTTCACTCAGCTTAATGAATGTGGTGAAAATTCACTTTGCAAAGAATACCCAACCACACTCAAGGAAAATAAAAACAAAAAACAGTAATTTAGCACTCGGGATAGAAGGTAAGATGTAAAAGAATTGTTGATAAAAATTCATAAAATTGCTAAAATGTCTAAAATTTATCAGGAAATACAAAAGTGTATAAAATATATATTTATACAGTGAGCAAAATAATTATTTGATCCCCTGCAAATTTTGTACGTTTGCCCACTTACAAAGAAATGAAAGGTCTATAATTTTTTATCTTAGGTGTATTTTAAATGATAGAGACAGAATATCAACCACAAATCCAGTAAAAAACACATGATACAAATGTTATAAATTGAGTTGCAGTTCAGTGAGTAAAATAAGTATTTGATCCCCAAGCAAAACATGACTTAGTACTTGGTGGAGAAACCCTCGTGGGCAAGCACAGAGGTAAGACGTTTCTTGTAGTTGGTTACCAGGTTTGCACACATCTCAGGAGAGATTTTGGTCCACTCTTCTTTACAGATCTTGTCTAAATCCTTAAGGTTTCTTGGGTGTCGCTTGGCAACTCAAAGTTTCAGCTCCCTCCATAAATTTTCTATAGGATTAAGGTCTGGAGACTGGCAAGGCCACTCCATGACCTTAATGTGCTTCTTTTTGAGCCACTGCTTTATTGCCTTGGTGGTCTGTTTTGGGTCATTGTCATGCTGAAAGACCCATCCACGACCCATCTTCAGTGTTCTGGGGGAAGGAGGTTCTCATCCAAGATTTTATAATACATGGCCCCGTCAATTGGCCCATCAATGCGGCAAAGTTGGCCTGTATCTTTAGCAGAGAAACAGCCCCAACGCATATTGTTTCCACCTCTGTGCTTGACTGTAGGGATGGTGTTCTTAGGGTCATAGTCAGTATTTTTCTTCCCCCAAACACGGCCAGTCGAGTTAATGCCAAATAACCCAATTTTGGTCTCATCTGACTTTCTCCCAATCCTTCTCTGAATCATTTAGATGTTTATTGGCAAATTTAGACGGGCCTGTACATGTGCCTTCTTGAGGAGGGGGACCTTGTTTGGTGACTGTGGTCCCAACTGCCTTGAGATCATTCACAGGCTCCTCCCGTGTAGTTCTGGGCTGATCCCTAACTTTTCTCATGATCGTCCTTACCGCATGAGGTGAAATCCTGCATGGAGCTCTGGACCGAGGGTGATTGATGGTTATCTTGCATTCCTTCCATTTGCGAATAAATCGCTCCAACAGTTGTTTCCTTCTCACCAAGCTTTTTGCTGATAGTCTTGGAGCCCATTCCAGCCCTGTG